TTTTGCTGAGTTTACACACCTATAATATTCAATAACGGAACTTAAAAAAAATGGGGTATACCGATGAATGTCCATTTTGTATCTGTGTATTCAAAGTGGTTAGGATAGATATATAGTTGCATTCTCTTAATGAATAGAATGATTTGTTCTAATGGTGTTTGTAAATAGGATCACAAGTCCCCATCTTGTACAGCAATTAACCACTAAGAAGAATATATGCAGTGTATTATTTGTTGAAACTGTACTTTCAATTTGATTTGAAACTGTCTCATTGCTATCTGTTTATCAATAAAACTTTGAAAAGAAAAAAAAGGAAAAAAAAGGAAAAAAAATTTATACAGATAAAAGATAATAGTGTAGATAGTGTCATACTATTCGGTTACAAAAAAAGATACATGTATACTTGTACTGGTATTTAGGAAGCTGACAGTAAGGATTTGCTCTGGAGGAAGCAGAACAAGACCCTGTCTCAAAATAAAGGGTTAGGGAGACCTAGAAATCGGGAGAAAGGTTTAATTTTTACTATATATCTTGTACACAATTTACTATTTAAAAATTATGTAAACTATATAAAATGTTAAAAAAACAAACAACTGGAAAACAGAAGGGATTAATGAACAGTTTTGAATACTGTAGACACACCAATGAGAATATAGAGTGAGATAAAGCCTTTAGACTAGATGTTTATGGAGTTTAGGTAACTTTCAGTACATAGCTTAAGGTGAGTCACTGGGGTACTGAAAGAGAAAACTGTACTATAAGTGGTTCAAAAGAAGGCTTGAGGAAGACAATTTATCTTGATACAATTGGGATTTGATGGGATACAGTTGTGAACTGATCAGCTTTTTGTATGTGTGCTTGTGCTTGCATCCATATCTATGGAACATATATCCATCTTTCTCTGCTTAGGAAAGGGCAACAAGGTATTTTATCAGGGACTAGATATTGGCAAATAGGATGTGACAGAAAGGTCTACTGCTGAGGAATTTAGCACACTACTAAGAGCACTTAGAGCCCAGCACAGGGGGGCTAGGATGGAGGAAACTTGGTGAAGATTGAGACTGAGGTAGGCGTGGATGATATCTTAATGGAAATAAATTGGAAGATATTTTTCACACCAGCAGAGGTAATTGGATAATAGGAATAATATCCACTTAGAGGAACTGAAATCAAGGCAATAATTTTTACCTACCATCCAGGAGGTTGATGGAAATTCATATAATAAGATTGCAGCTACAAAGGATATAATTCCATTTTATTATAGTCAGCAAAGTAAAAGCAGTTTAAAGCCAATTTCATATGTTTAGGTTTTATGAAAGGGGAACTGGTAAGCTGCCTTTATATGGGGCCAACTCTTTGATTGCATTTTTTTTTTGCTGGAAAGGATCACTTTTGTAAAAGAATAACAAGGGATAGAATGAGGAACGAGCGTAAAGTAAATTCTGCATTTTGTCATTTAATAAAGGAATACATGCAACTGAAGCCAACCCAGAGCAGATGGCACCACCACATGTTTGTGATTTTATGACACTTCCAGGTGAGTTCTGTGACACTTACCAGAGAGTTGCTGGAGTGGGGTGACTGACTTTGGGCAGCACTGGTGAACCTATGGCATGCCTAGCACACAGCGGACACAAAGCTCTCTCTGTTGGCGCGCCAGCCAGGTTGCCTCAGGAGTTGTTTTTTCTAAACTAAAACCTTAGTATTCAGAATTAATTATAGTGTTGGCATTTTGTAATAAATAAGTGGGTTTTTAGGTTCCAGGTTTTTTTTTTTTTTCTTTTTTGTGCACTAGGTCTCTGAAAGGGTTCACATCAGTGCTCTAGGGCACTCACATGGTTGTGGCTGTGAAAGAAAATGTTTAGCCGTGAAAGTACTATCTACCCTTTGATCACAGACAAATCCTTGATAGGTCCTCACAGCCTGGAGACATGTTGGAACCGGACTTCATAGGATCACAGTGCACTGGCATTTGCCTGTAGGGCCATGAGTCTGGTTCTGCTGGTGGTGGCAGATCAAGTCAGATTTGAAAGTACTGTAGAAGTTTCAAGTGTCTCGAATGGAGGAACCTGATTTTTCAACTATATCTAAATGATGTTGTTTGAGATAACATAGACAATCATGAAATAAATACTAACTAAGAAAAATACTAGTACACTTTTAAATATTAGATTTTAGGGGCCAATGGTTTAGCTCAGTGGTGTAGTCAGTGCCTACTGGGCAAGTGTGAGGTCCTGAGTTTGATTGCTGGTACTCCTTAAAATAAATAAAATAAATATTAGATTTTAAGTTAGGCCTTTTTTTTTTTTTTTTTTTTTGCAGAACTGGGGATTGAACTCAGGTCCTTGCGCTTGCCAAGGAAGCGCTTATTCCACTGAGCCATCTCCCCAGCCCCTAAGTTAAGCCATTGAACAAAACAACCATAACTCAATAATGGAAATGTTCACCAATTAAGTGTTTAGAAATTAGCTTTGAGTAAAAGGCTCAAGTCAATAGCTTCTGAGGATAACCCACTAATATTATAGACTGCTACACAGTATTAGATGTTTAGTTGAATTCAAACACTTATAGTGTTTAGATGCCAATAGAATATTCACCTCTGACAGGACAAAAAAATAAATAAATAAAAATTTAAAAAAAAAAGAAAAAAATGGAAATGGAAAGAAGCAGTCAATGCTCTAATTAGCTTCATCTCCTTTTTTTTTCAATTGTTTGTACTTTTTCTTTTCTTAATTTCTTATACATTGCTCCAGTTTTTTCTTTTTCCAATTTTATGTGTATATATCTGGTAATATGAATAGCTGGTTGTAAGACAAAACCATGTATTACAACAGTCAAGCACTTATCCTACTGAGCCATCTCCCCGGCACCATGTATTACAACAAATACTGTGAAATTCATATTACTTTGTTAAGTAAAATTCTGTATGAGATGTCAAAAATAAATAAATAAATAAATTTAAAAAACAAACAAACAAAAAAACAAATTTGTGTTCGAATGGTTAGCCCATGGAATAAAGGAGATGACTAAAAAAAAAAAAAGAAATTAGCTTTGATCAGATTTAGGTAGACAAGAACAGTGGATAAAATGTTACTATTTGTTAGTTAGCTTGAAACAGAAGTAAATCAACTAAATGATTTCTGTTATGTCTTTTTGAGACAGGGGTCCATTATGCAGTTCAGGCTGGTCTTGAACCTATTTTCTAGCCCAGGCTAGCCTTGAACTCCCAGTGACCCTCCTGCTTCAGTCTCCCCAGTGATGGGATTATGAGGGCATGCTGCCATGCCCAGTTAGCTAAATGATTTTGAAAACCATAGCTTAAATTTTTTTTCCCTTTCTACTGGGTATGGTAGTGCATGTCTGTAGTCCCAGCACTCAGAAGGCTGAGGCAAGGAGAATCATTGTGACCAGCCTGGCAGGAGGATCATTGTGACCAGCCTGGGCTGCAAGTGAGCTCAAGGTCAGCCTGAACAGCATAGCGAGACCCTGTCTCAAAAAAAATTCCCTTTTGGGGGGCAAGAAGAGCTGATCTTCTGCTGATAGTCTTGTCTGTCCCCCAGAAAAGCATAGATTATCATAAACTTTAATCATAAGATTGAATTTTAATCATGTAAAATGAAAAAGAAAAATGTATAGTAACAGAAATTTTATTTTTTTAAGCAGAAATTTTAAAAGATGTAAAATGAAATATAGTCTCATTCTAGAAAGACAATTGTTCTCTTTTTTGCATCAATGTAGAAAAGAAATATCCTATTAAATAATTGTATATATATATATATATATGTATATGTATATATGCCTTAGAATATGATTTAGAACGTCAGTTTCTGTTAAACAATGTATTTTAGGGAAGGTGAGATGGCTCCACAGTCTGAAGTGCCTGCTTAGGCAAGCTCAGACAAGTGCACAGGGACCATGGTTTGATCCCCGGCACCACATGCTGTGCCAGCCTCACCTGTAGGTCTTGTCCACAGGTTGTGCTGGGCCGGCCACAAAACAGAAACAAAAACAAAAACAAAAACAAAAGTCTATCTTAGAAATCCTTTTCTATAAGTAGACATATTCACTTGTAAGTGTTGAATTCACTTAGGTTAGGTGTGGTCACACACATCTACAATCCTAGCACCCAGGAGGCTGAGGCAGAGGGATCGTTGTGAGTTCGAGACCAGCTTGGGCTACAAAGAGGGCTGAAAGCCATCCTGAACTGCACGGTGAGACTCTGTCTCAAAAAGATTAAATAACAACAACAAAACACAAAACAGTACAGCCTGGGATGGGGAGATAGCTCAGCAGAATAAGTGCCTGCCTGGCAAGAACAAGGTCCTGAATTCGATCGCCAGTGTTAAAAACAAATAAACAAACACATAGAAAACCACTTTACTCTAATAATTGCATAGTATGAATATTTAAAATTTCAACAGATACTGGGAAAGTGTCCTCTAAATACACTTACAACCTCATCAATAGTGTACAAGAGTGCCTGGTTCTCCACAACTTTGTGCACAAAGCTTTGACTTTTGGTAACTGGAGAGAAATATTTTTATTTCAATTTCTAAAATTATAAAAGTGATTGAAATTACTTTAAAAGTAATCAATTAGTGATGAGCATTTTGTGAAGTCATATATACATACATGTGGGTCTCTCTTAGGAACAGGGTCACCAAAGAATTTATTACAGGAAGAATCATTATGTGGATTAAGGTTATGATATAATGTGCAGCACTGAATTTTTTTTAAATCAAGAGACAGTTTCACAGATAGGTTTCAGTTTTCGAAAAAGGGGAAGAAACCCAATTCTGTAGCTCGATGTGGGTTTGTCAGTTATTACCTCCTCATTTCCTGGGACTTCCCACTGCTTCTTTAGCACAAATCAGACTTAAGTGAAAATATCTCTTTTTCCATAGGATCAGTTATAAAGAGAATGGCCATGCAGTGACTAGCTAGCTCAATCTCTTGGTCTTACTCGTGAAGGACTCGCGAACCTTTCTGCTTTGTGTTCCTGGGCTTGTTCTCTGTTTGGTCAATTAGTGCAGAAACAAAAGAACAGACTACTTAGTGAAGGTAAGAAAAAGTAGGCAAAGTGCCCTACAATTCTGTTTACATTTCCTCTCATTTCTGTCTCACACTTCCTTAGCCCTCTATCATCAAAACTCACGTGGAATCTTGTGACATCTAAAATACTTTTCTAGCTTACTAAATCAGAGGTGTGGTGAAGCAAGCATTCAGTGGAATTGGAAGTAAGTATAGCCAAACACTTCCTTCTCTTAACTTCATGTCCACGTTTTGTGCATTTCTAAAATACTTTGTTAATCCAAAATCTATGACTGGTTAGATCAAATTCTTTGCTGTAAAATTTCTTCAATCCTTCTTTACTAATTTTCACACTAGTTCAGCTTCTGTATTTTTGAAAGAAGGCCTAAAAACTTAAGCAGGACGTTGCAGGGACAGCGTAGCCCTGGAGTTCAGTTACGGTGATAAATGTTAGAGAAAAGTACAATCACTGTGTTCCAATTGGATTTGACGCTCAGTTTTTTGGTTCAGTGAGTTTATGATGGTAGTGTTCTACATGGCGAGATATTTTCAAAGTAAATGTGATTTGCAGTGATGATAGTTTCAAAATTGTCATCTGGGTGATTTAGGGAGAGACTGCTTTTTTGGTATTCAAGACAGGATATGTATGTGTGAACTTTTGTTTGAATTGTCTCTAGTTTTGCTCAAACATGATTTCTCTTGTGCTCTTTGAGCTTGGATATAGACCTGATTTAGTTAGAATATTCACATTGATATTGTAGCACATTTCTACTTTTGGAGGGTGGGGGAACAAGGTCTTGCTGCGTAGTGCAGGGTGGCCTTGTACTCACTAGGCAGACCTTGAGCTCTCTACTATCTTTCTGCCTCAGCCTCTGGACAGCTGGGATTACAGCTAAGCACCGAGTTCTTACATAGGTCCATTGGAGACTATTGTTTTTGAGCTCTTTATAGGACTATCACAATGGCAATTTGGGAAATTTATAAAAGTAGCCATGATGTTTAAAATAGTTATATCAAGTTACTGAAACATTTCTAACCACATGCATAATGGTTATTTTAGATTTATAAGATACTGTCCCTCTAAGCTCCTAACAAATGTGACATAATGGAAATACCCCTTTACTTAAGTAAATACAGTTAATTTCCTCTGAATTTTTATTTTTAAAAGCTTTACTTTTTTTTTTCTCATGGAACCGGGGATTGAATTCAGACCCTTGCGCTTGCCAGGGAAGCGGTTATCCTACTGAGCCATCTCCCCGGCCCCCCTATAAGCCTTACTTTCTTTGTTTAATTTTTTTTTTTGAGAAAAAGTCGTTTTTAAAATTTATTTATTTATTTATTTGTTGAGAAAAAGTCTTGATATGTAGTTTAGGCTGACCTTGAACTCTCTATTTAGCCCAGTCAGGCCTCGACCTCACAGAGGTCTTGCCTCACCTCCTGCATGCTAGGATTGCAGGCATGTATCACCATGCTGGAGCTAAATTTTTCTAATTAAGAGGTTTTATTAGTATATATTTGCAATATATAATATATACATTCATCATGAGTAGGAAAGTTGAAACCTATATAAAAACTGAGATAATAGTACAATGAGAACATCCATACGTCCATCATGAAAGATTAATCAGCTGTCTAATTTTGACATTTTATTTCTCTGTGTGTGGTTTTTTTCCCCCTGAATCACTGAGAGCATATTGTTGACTTTAGGAAAGATGTCACCCTTGAATTCTTGAATATGTACTTCCTAAGACTAAAGTTGGTCTTGTGTATCACTGTAATTCAGTTGTGACATCAAGGACATTTAGCATCAATAAATGATATTATCTATCATGTGATCCATATTCAAATTTCTCAAATTACCACATGTCTTTTAGAGCTTTTATATATCCAGCACCTAATCATTGAGCTTGATTGCCATGCCTACAATTATGTAAATGTTAGTGATGATAAGCATGATTAACACAGTTAACAGTGATTAATGATTGAAACTAAAAGAAAACATCAGCACAACGCATCTATGACTATTTTTCTTTCTTTTTTTTTTTTTTTCAGTTCTGGGGATTGAACCAAGGGCCTTCAAACTCAGTTGGATTCTGAGATTCCCCTTCTTTAATTTTGAGATTGGGTGCTGCTCAGTTGCCCAGGCTGGGCTGAAATTTCCATTTCTCTTGCCTTAGTGTCCCAGAGTGGCGGGATTATAGGCATGCACCATTGAGTGTATCTAGTATTCTTATCTGTTTTGTATCCATATGCATTTGAAGTAATTCGAAAAATGATCACAAGGCTTGCTTTTTCTATTTGTGAGATGATAAGAAAGAATATGGAGAAAATATTAAAATTAAGGCAAAAATATAGTGAGTAATATTTCCGCACCAAATTTTACAGCTTCTGAAATAAGGAATTTCACACATTGGATTAAGCTCTTGAAAGTAGCTGCTATCTTTGGACATAACAATCCAAGCAGAACTAAAGACAAAATTATTTATTTACTTGGTGAGGCTAATGGAAAAAAGAGGATATTTATTTACAGATCTAGGGCAGGCGAGATAGTTCAGTGGTCTAAAGCACCTGCTTAGGCAAGCAGGCAAAGTGCAGGGACTGCAGTTCAACCCCCAGCATTACAAGCCATGCCAGCTCCTCCACCAGGGTGGGCTGAGCCGGCCACAAAAAAACCAAAAAAATCAAGACAGATAAACTATCATTGATATTTACACATATATTATTTTAGCTATCAAGTTAGACTTTCAGAAATTAATTCATGAAGTTAAAATCATTGTATTTGATACAAGACTAGATAATTCAAATGATGTTTTGCAAGAGCATTTGAAATATGAATAATGATATGCTACAGCAGTAAATAGTGAAATAATAGTGATATAATCTAGGTATATGATGAAATGATTAGCTATTTTTAGCTCTAAAGAACAGATTTTTAAATATTTATTTTTTTATGTATTTAGTACAGGGTCTACAGGATCTCACTACACAGATCAGATTCATAGTGATTCTCCTGTTTTCAGCCTCCCAAGCGCTGGGATTACAGGCACAAGCCACCACACCCAGTCTCAGTTGCTGTCTCAGCAAGCCCCAGGGTCAGGGCCTGCAGAGCATGGCTGGGATCAAACCCAGGATCCTGTGTCTGCCTAAGCAGGCACTTTAATCTGCTGAGCTATCTGGTTGGTCCTTATTTATTTATTTATTTATTTATTTTTTGTCTTTTTGAGACGGGGTCTCACTATGCAGTTCAGACTGGCCTTGAACTCACTT